TATATATATATCAGTCTGTTCATATCTATCTATCTGTCTATCTATCTCTGTCCATATCTCCCTATATATCTATCTCAGTCTGTTCATATCTGTCTGTCTGTCGGTCTATCTATTTATCTCTCGTTCAGATAAAAGGAAATGGATAATTGCTTCCATATCTGAGTTGGAACTTTCAAAATCTCTCTTTCTAATCGTTATATCGATAAAAAGTCTTTACGCGGCCTTGTAGGCCCCTTCCCACTGACCCCACAGAATCCAAATTTTATCGCAATTACAATAAGTTTGTCTTTGTAATTTACATCTAAAGATGATACTGGAAAAGATCGAAAGTACTTGGGTTAGAAAAAACTCCGACACCTTCCTTGATGAAATCATCTTGACATCAAGAGACTGATTAGACAATTGGGAAGGATAAATATATATATATATATATATATATATATATATATAGATAGATAGATAGATAGATAGATAGATATAAGTGAACATTGACGTCAACATTTGACTTCAGTGTTCACTTTTACATATATACATATATATTTTAAGTTTTTTGTGCGCTGACAAACTACCAAGTAAACTCCTATTCTTCCCTCTGTGAGATACGATGAAAACAAAAGGAGTGATTAAAAGTAGCCACGAAAGAATCATATACACAACTGCAAAGGAAGAAAGAATGAAAGAATGAAAGAAAGAGAGAGAGATGAGGGAATAGGAAAGAATAGTTTATATTTTATTTTCAGTTTGAATTAAACTTCACATAATGTTACTGTTCTTCGAGGTGACTTGGATTGTGGGATTGACTGTCACTAGCGATGATGTTCTAATTTCTCAGCAAATTTGACTCTCAAGAACACCCAAGGTGTGCCACAAAAATGAATAAATTATACATTGACCTATTATTAGCAACGGACTATTTTAAATTACAAAATTCTACTTGAATTAAATGAAAATTACTTACAATATAATGCATATTACTTATAATGGATTCCTTTTGTCGTAAACTTCGACGTCACGGGTACACTAGTACACACACACACACACATGCACACACACACACACATATAATTATGACATCTGTTGTGCCTTGAATAGCTACGTATTTTTCTGTTAGAAAATTTTTTAAATTTAAATTTTAAAATTTTAATTTAGATTTAAACTTTTAAAATGTAAGACAAAGACACAAAGATGGCAGATATAAACAATAGATATTTTGTTACTATTATTACCATTTACTTTTGTAAATGTTTTGCATGACTTTTAGATCAACACGGCGAACTTGCACACATTTCCACTTATGTAACATGAATTGTCATAAAGACAAACTCACAAACGTTTTCATATAATATTTCAAATAATGCGGTTCGATTTTGCTAGTTGCAATTGGTCAGGATCTATTATTGTACATAACTAGGTTAACATGATATCTGAAGTTCATAGGAATTCTACCTTATGTAAATCGAGATGCACTAGGGAGGGGGTACGGTAACAAATTGTGGTGGGGGTGCGTATTCGGAGGTTGGAGAGGCACGAGGCCTTTGCAGCGGCCCTGATTTTAATTTGCTCAAAGAGAATGGTAATAAATATTGGAGGTATTATGGTTCTTTTTTATTTTGAAATTGGGAACTTTACTTTCAGATCATTAAAAGATAGATATGAACAGAATCACGCACACACAAACATATATATAAATATCTGCCTATATTTCTGAAATGAGGTATTATGTACATTATTTACATTATTCGGACTATTGTACTCATCTTTGTCGCCATATTTTTCCTCAAGGACACATGGCACAGTGGATAAAGGCGTTGGCTAGATCCAGTGACAGGACCCAAAAAGTATGAGTTCAATACCCGGTTAAGGCAGTGGAGAACTTGGAGAGGGGAATTAACAGAAAATGTTGGTCAAGAACAGCAAGAAGTGAATTACATCTACTGGCTTGTGCATTGGAAAGTCTTAATAAAGGATATGTGCCTCCGGTTGAAATCTAAACTGTTTTAAAAAATGGCTTCTACTGAAACTCGCGTTACTACTAAAATATAAAGTTTAATAACACACAAACGCACACAGACACATGCCCCCCCACACACATATATATATGTATATAAAGTGAACGAGAAAGAGTATTTATGCAAATATAAAATTTGTCACTTAGTTGATTGGTGTTACCTGTAGTTTTGCAGACGGACCCTTTTGTAATCACTCCGTCCACTCGTCAGAAGACACTCGGTTCAAATCAAATCCCCAAATTTGACCAAATATCAGAATTTTAAATTATATTTTTCGTAACGCCAACAAATTTTCCGTACACTCGCTCATACACACATATGTATATATGTATGTGCAAGTATCAACCAGTCGCACACATATATATTTAAATATATAGTAAATACTGAAATACACACACACACACACACACACACACATATATATATATATATATATATAAAAGAAATATGTTGTAGTGGTTCCAACGAGAGAAAAGTATGTATATTAAAAAGAAGAGGGGTGCCGCAAACGTTTTTTTGGTTGTAATGTGGATTTATTGAGAAAAAATATTATACTTTGTTTTACATAATTTCACGACACGTGTTTCTGGTCTGGTCTCGCAACCGTCTTCAGGTGAAAGTGGAGATTTTTACATATTATTAAAAATAATTAATTTTTTCTTCATGTTCAATGTGGAATATTCTCGATATGAGACATTCTGTTTTGTGTGTTGGCAATCCGAATTTTCTTTCTAGAATTGTCAATGAAGAGTTCTGCGTGAAGGGTCATAAAACAATTAAGGTTTGTCCAGCGAGTAGTTATCGGCATTTAATCTAATGATTAACAGTACACACAGGGAATATATGTATATATATATATATATATATATATATTCTCGTTCCGAATAGCTGTTACACATGACGCCACGCTAGATCATTTCAAATTAATCATATATATATATATATATATATATATATATATATACATATATATATATTTGTATAATTAGGCAGCAATCCTTCCTTTATGCATGTTTCATTAAAACGACAGACAAGGTACTACAGTTGAGCTTTTATTTAATCTTTCTTGTGTTCTGACAAGAGCTTTCTTTTCTGGACAAAAGTGTGTAAAACTGTCCGAATATTCTGTGTTTCCAAAGCTTTCAGCTATACCTTTAGCCATTATCAAAAAGATGGTTCAATTATCAATATCTTAGTAGAACAAAGCCACTATGTATGTTCAGTGTGTGGTAGTGATGTTTTTAGTTTCCAATACAGTTGCACATTGTGGCTTTGTTCATAGTTGAACCATTGTTAGAATTGGCTTTTCTTTTTTTTATTAACACAGAACTTCGGACATTTTTTAGTCTTTTTTTGCAGAAAAGATGCAGTTAATATGTTAGAACTAGTATGAAAGTATGTTCCTAAAAAGTGCAACTGGGTAAATCTGTCTGTCGTTTTAATGAAACTAAGCTATATATATATATATATATATATATATATATATATATATATATATATATATATATATATATATATATATATATATATTTATATAAAATTAAAATTCGCTTGAAAATGAAACAGAACTAGGGTCTTTAATTTAATTATATAATTGAATTTTACGTTTTTTATTTTCTGTTTTTTTTGAAACATGGTAACTCCTGTGTAGCGATACCATACTTTTAAATCAGTTATATATATATATATATATATATATATATATTATACATATATATATATATATATATATATATATATATATATATATATATATATATATATATATATATATATATATATATATATATATATATATATATATATATATATATATATATATATATATATATATATATATCTTCAGGACATATTCATAAAACATAATTAACATAGACCATATACAATTCAACATGAAAAAAGACGATGGACATAAAAGCAATACCAATCCAAACAGATAACTGAAATCTTTTAAGATGGTCTATTAGACCGAAACGTCCGACGTTGACATTCAACATTAAAACAGCATAATTGCATATTAGGATTTTTTGTTTTGTTTTTTCAGTATATTTTTCTTCATACTGTCGGATCTATATCAATATATTTGCTTACATATATATATATATATATATATATATATATATATATATATATATATATAATCATAGTAATAATTTCAGTCCGAATAAACCTGAGAATTGTGAAAATAATGCCGCCGACAGTATGAATGAATAGAAACCTGTACTAACATGACAAACGGGATGTTTCTTTAAAACTTTTTGTTGTATACTTTTCTGAATGTTTTCACTTTGGCCAAATGTAACCTTGCCTTTACTCATCCCCAACTACTTAATCACCCCTCCGTTATTTGCTGCCTGTCAACTGATCACACCCATCGCCCTAGGTGCGTCCAACCCTGAAGGACTATCTTTCTGCGTCGAAGTAATAGCTTTTAGTTATATGTTACAAAGAAATGTTTCAATCTCCGACTTCTCTGTTTTGTTCGATAAGCTTTTATGAACTATCAAGTATTAACAACTCTACATAAATCTCCACCCTTCTTTTTTTAAAAATCATTTCACGCCAAAGAAGGTAATAAAGCCACTAAGACGCAAATGGGTTACTGGGAATGAAGAAAACTGAGAAAACGTTGTTACCGTGGAAAATGAAGAATTAATTGTACAGAGTAGAAGGAAACAGAAAATGATGACTGACACTGCATTTAAATTTTTGTAGATTGTAGTTGATATGAAAACAAGAAACGGGAAGAGATTTCCTACATGCAAGAAGTGCGAGATAAAATATAATTAGACCTGAGCTTACAGTTATATTTGTCAATTTTAATATCAAATACCTATATAAAACAAATCAAATCCAAAAAAAAAAAACAACCATCTCCCCAGAAAAAAAGATGGCGGAGAAAGTCAGCGACATTAAATAGGTAAACGGAGATCGCAGAAACGATGAAACCAATTTTCATTGGTTGAAAACAAATCAATAAATGGCACACCCGAAAATTCGCAGATTCACTTGAGAGAATGAGTAGCTTTCTAGAAGGTTATCACTCCTGGCTGGCTCACTTAGATGAGACGATCTGATGACACAAACAACAAAGAACACTGACAAATCATCATGGAGCACTGCAAGGTTGTTTGGAATACAAGTAAACTAGACGATTTTTCCTTCTGATAAAGAAGTGACCCGCTGGAATTTCTAAATTCCAAAGTATTAACTCTTTTTTTTCTTCCTCAGAACAGTTTTTGGATTGTGCCTGTGCCATTTGTTTGCATGGCGATTTTCAATTGATTGCGCGGTTCTCAATAAGTCGCCATTCTTACCCTTATATATATATATATATATATATATATATATATATATATATATATATATATAAATGAGGATAAGGAATTGAAAATGGTACATCTAACTCACTCATATCTTCTCTCCCACCTCACTTCCTCACTTCGTTAATTTCACATACGCTTGTTGCGGTCCGTCAAAAATGTGTAAGTTTCTTTTCATTTTTCATTTCAACTTTTGGAAGTAAAGTCTGATGATCCAGAGCCCTATAAAAGGATTGTGGTGAAATTACATGGAACCTTAAAGTGATCTGTTTTTATTTGCTCTGAACTTACATTGAGCTCTCTGGATATCATCCTCTTTGGGTCTACCCATACGGATTACCTAGTTTTGCATAAACTCTCTCTCTCTCTCTCTATATATATATATATATATTATTATTATTACCTTAGAAAATATTACTCTTTAACTTCTTACATCTTTACTTTTCTTTTTTTTCTATCTATATCGTTTCCTGTGAGATGACCCATTAAATAGGTCGATGTCTGGTACTTACCCACTTCATCACTATTAAGTATTGAAATAAAAATAAATGTAACATCATTCCTATCTCTCCCTTCCCTCTCTAATTTCGACCATGGCTTTCACACTATCTCCTCCCACTCTCTATATCGCCTTACATCAACTTAAAACTGTATAAAAACTACCCTTCATGTGTATAAAAATATATGTAAATTTAAATTCATTTTTTCACCCTTGAAAATGTGCTCTGATGAGCCAGGGAAAAAGAAATTCTCTGGGGAAATAAATTATAACCAATGGATCCTTAAAGTTGTCTGTTTTCATTGAATTAATCGTTCTGATTTAACATTGAGCTGCGTGGATTTCATCCTCCTTGGTACGGATACGGATTACCAACATTTTCATTACTTAATTTTATACACACACACACACACACACACACACACACACACACACATATATATATATATATATATATATATATATATATATAAGAGGAAGAGGTTATATATGTTCCAACGAGAGAAAAGTGTATATATTAAAAAAGACACAAACCACAAGCGTTTTTGGTTGTAATGTGGACATTTTTTTTTTAAATAATATATATATTTCTTTATTTCCTATAATTTTTCCATAATTTTTCCAAATTATGGAAAATAAAAACATAATATATATTTTAAAAAATCGACATTACAACCAAAAACGTTTGCAAAACTCTCTTCTTTTAATATATATATATATATATATATATATATATATATATATATATATATATATATATATGGTGGACTCTTCCGTCGTATTCGACGCATGAGGGTCAAGAATTTCAGTTTGTAGGAACCGACTTCCCCAGACGATGTATTATTCCGCCAATCCAAATGAAGTCTACGAAAGCGGAGGAGAATGAGGCGCTCACGTCTTAGGACTCCCCCGGTTGACATCGCCGCTTCACTCAAACAAGTCTATTCTTCATTATTTCTGACAAGACTGAGGGAAAGAGAAAAGAATCGCATAACGTAGTTGATGAGCTTGAGCAAATGGATGGTAGAACAGGGCTTGGGAGAAATAACAAAAAGACAAAAATGTGGAGGGCCATGATCCTGAAGGAACAGGGTACTGGTTTGTAGCATTCACTACCTTCAAAACTGACCTATTGTCCTCACCGAGCAGAACCTGAATTTTTATCCAGTCATTACGGTTTCACTCTCGATAAGTCTGGGATTCAAACTTAAATGGAACTCATATATACGATCGATCACTAAAGATATTGTTCGGGTTGTTGTCCTCGTCTTTATTGTCATATTCACGACGTTTAAGCCGTTGTACGCTTGGGCCTTCTTCAGGTGATATACACTGGAATTTCGAACCGAACCCTTTATTTTGTCTCCGGGGATAGATTGTTCCAGTTCTATATCCTTTTCTAATATCTCAGTTGTAGTTATTTCCCTTGAGTAACTTAACTCCCCAAGTTTCTGTTCCCCTTTGCTGTGGCCAGGTATTGAACTCACAACTCTTTGAGTCAAGTCACTGTATCACATTAACCAGGAACACAAGGCACTGTGTATAAAAGCTTTCGTTTTGTATCGCATCCAAAAAGCACCAGACTCCATCTGCCATGATTTATCTTTACAAAAATCGGATTAAACCAAAAATGATGTACTGCTTCATGCATTTCCTATTCCTTCTAAAGTTCTCATTCTCTTTCACTCCCAGTAGTCCCTTGCATCTTAGTGGCATTATCACCTTGCTAGTGGGGGGGCGGGTAAAAATATCTGATCTTGAGCTACTCAATCTTCACTTTCCAGATTTGACAGATTTATTAATATATTTAAATTCTCATATGGGAAAAATTTATTTATTTTTTCTTCATGGCTAAATTGGTGGATATATATTTTCTCGAAATGCTTATCTGATGCCAGTATACATATATGCCATACTGGTCTGACACCAGAATACACAGATACTACGCTGATCTGTTGCCGGAAAACACACATACTATACTTGTCTGATACTGGAATACACAGATACTATGCTGATCTGATGCCGGAATACACAGATACTATGCTGATTTGATGCCGGAATACACACATACTATGCTGATCTGATGCCGGAATACACAGATACTATGCTGATCTCATGGGAAGTGAAACTCAACTGAATGCACAGCTTAGATACACAACCAACGGAGAAGTGCCGATCTATACGTAAATAATGCCTACATTTTTGACGGGTTCTCTGCTAGTGTACTTATAAAAATGTCTATTTCCAATAAAACAACTTTTGTAATCATGTTGCAATTAAATCTACAGGGTGGTTCGAAAGTCTTGTCTCCCTATATAATATAATTTTCTATTTCAGTTTGGGACCATAAGTAGAGCCCCAAATAAAACCATGTTTGTATTGACACCCTACGAATGATACATCAACTAGTAGCTATTGAAATAATTGAACAGGCAAATCGATGAGATAAAGTGTAGGTGAAGGTGGGGAATGCAAGTCGTTGCTATGACAACGCTGTTACTCTAGCAACAGCTTGACACGCTGTTGGCCATGTAGGTTGCATGGTTCCACGCTCTGGTTGAGGGCTGGGATGTCGGGTCCAACAGTCAGACAAAGACGGACCTAGCCATGGGTTGAGTTGCGACTGAAAAAGAGAATGAAAGAGAAAAGGAAGGAAAAGAAAACAAAAAAAATGAAAAGGAAGAAAAGAGAAAGAAATAAAAATGAGTTTTTGTTTTTAAATTGGAAAATGTAAAAAAAAATTAAAAATGGAAATAGTATAACGAAAGGCATGAGAAGAAGAAAAAAAGGAAGAAAAAAATGATGATGAAAGATAAAAAGAGGAAGAAAAGGAGGGGGAAGGGTGATTGAAGACAGAAAAAAAGATAGAGGAAAAGGAAAGTTCGTAGAAAGGAAAGGATGAATAACTTAGAAAGAAAGAAAGAATGAAAGAAAGAAGAGGAAAGGGAAATTTCGATGAACAGGAAGAGGGAAAGAATGAATAACTTAGAAAGAAAGAAAGAAAGAAAGAAAGAAAGAAAGAAAGAAAGAAAGAAAGAAAGAAAGAAATAATTTTTTTATGTAATTTTTTCTCTAACTCACTTTAAGAACTGTTTTTGGCGTCAGTCCCGGACCTTAACTTTGTTTGGGAAATTTTAACGTCTTCTTACAGAATACATTGAGTTTCAAATTCTTGCAATAATCACATAATTGTCGGATTTCAATGAAACTTTCGGTTTTATTAAAAAAAATGAATGAAATTATTTTTTAAATATTTCTCTTTTAGTAAATTTTTTTTTTTACATCTGTTAGCCCCAAGTATTTTAATTTTTACAAATTCTTTTTCATATTACTTAATGTTTATATTTTTTATAAGGACAATTCCTCAGATAACTGGAATTATCACATTTTGGAGTTAAATAGGAAACCCACTTACAAAAAATCTGTTCTGAATTGTAAAATAAAAAATGCATTAAAACTAAGACAATTTTAATTAGCAATCGGTTTTTTATGAAAAAAGATATTTTATGGACATTATGTTTTATGAATAATTCATTTCTATAAGATTTGTTTTCATTTTTTTAAATTTTAATTAGACTAATTTATCGACTTTTAAATCTTCTTTCTTTCTTCTTTATTATGAACAATATCAGCGAAATGTATTTCGGTCAATATTTTGAGACACGGAATTAAAGCAATTAATTTTGCTGAAGTCAAAAATATAAATGACGCACTACGAAAAATGTTTGTCACTTTGAAATTGGTATACTTGAATGTTGACTCACTCGGACGGAACTCGACGAGCAGGACCTCATCTATCTATCTATCTATCTATCTATCTATCTCTATCTATCTATCTATCTCATCTCTTCCTATCTATCTATCTCAGTCTCTTCCTATCTATCTATCTATCTATCTATCTATCTCAGTCTCTTCCTATCTATCTATCTCAGTCTCTTCCTATCTATCTATCTATCTATCTATCTATCTATCTATCTATCTATCTATCTATCTAAGTCTGTTTCCTATCTATCTATCTATCTATCTATCTATCTATCTATCTTAGTCTGTTCCTATCTATCTATCTCAGAATTATATTCAGAATTAATTTGTTGCAGTCGAATGATCGTGTTATCAAATTAAAACTGTATTTACTAATCATAATTGGAAAATCTTTTTACAAGCTTATTACAATTCAATGACCCACTTGTAAAATAATTTTGAATTTCTTTTACGCATGCGTGTGTGTATGTCTGCGCACAAATGATTCTTTCTAAATACGGATGTCCATACACGACATTATCAGAAAATAAGGTAACTTATAGCAAACGAAAATTTTATTGGTGATTTTCTATCATTTTCTCAAAATAAGTAAGTAAAGCTATAATACCTAAGTACATAAAATTCAATAAAATATTAGAATGCTTAAAATTATTTCCTTAAGATTAAGTAGTTAAAAAAAAATTATATAAAAAGGGTTTTCACGTTGTATTCTCTACCCTTCACTTAAATTTCGCAAACATCAGGTGGAGTAATAGATAGCGGCTCAAATTGAGGAATCGGAGAGACGAGTTCGAACTTCAGCTGGATCAATTACATTCACTTGTGCGCTAATACCCTTGGGAAAAGTATAAATCCACTTCTTCTCAGCTGTGGGTAAATAGCAGGACAGACTGGCTTCTATAGCCTTGGGTGGCAACCCCTCTTGCACAAGGAAAAACTCTGAATTCAAAACTTGTCTCGATTCCGTCAGGCTATGGGTCTCCCTTCTCATTAGTTCAGCTACGTAGGGAGCCCTTCTCCCCCTCCTCATCTTATTAATTCTGATTATAATCAATAATTCATTCAATGCGTCAGAAAAACACCCGATTCGGTATTAAAAACGTTTTAATTCTGCAATATTTTAAATTAAAAGTAAGCAATTTAGATTAATTTAAATTTATATCAGATAGTTTTCCTCGAATAATGCTTCAGAAAAATATATTTTATTTTTGAAAGATTTTTTTTAATAAAGAGAACAGTGTTGCGTCGACAAATCCATCAATATAGACGAATTTATAGATATTAAAGATAAGAAAAAAAGATTCCAATCAATTTAAATTCGGTTTGAAGTACAGCAAATTATTTTGCATAATGGGAATATTAGATTTAATCTATTAGTTTGGAATTAAAACTAAAATCAAAGCTACAAGAAAGTTTTGCATTTTTAAAAATGCATTATAAACTTAGGTATCTCTATTTTGTAGAACCCTACACACACACATATATATATATATATATGTGTGTGTGTGTGTGTTTGCGTGTGTGTGAATGTAGGTACCTACAAAATATAAAGACACACACACACACTATATATATATATATATATATATATATATATATATATATATTTTTCATTTCGTTCGAACACCATTGAGGAAAAGGTAATTCCAAAACAGTAACCGTCGCCGCTATTAAAGCACCACTATTCCTTAATGAATTGAGCTCCCTGGCTGCTTTCGTTTATATTTATTCGTTTATAATACGTTAGAATCCCTACCCCCAGCGCTGATAGCTTAAGGGTAGGATCTCCGTCTGATACCAAGCCGGCCGTGTTTCGATTCCGGCATGAAACAATCAGATGTCTAACCACAAAGATGATTTGCGAAATAATGTTGTGTGTGTGTGTGTATATATATATATATATATATATATATATATATATATGCGTGTCTATCGAGAAATCTTAAAGAAATAAAAATTCCTTATATATAAAAGTCATTTTTATTTCTTTAAGGTTTCTCTCTCTCTCTCTATCTCTATATATATATGGCATTTTTATTTCTTTAAGATTTCTCGATAGTGACGCACCAATACACACTGTTTAAAGTTGTCGGTTGGTTGATTTTGTTTAGATGCATATCACCCTCTGTTGGTTATTTAATACCGTAATCTAAATATTTTAAATGCAGTTGTATGTCTTCAACTAAAGATAAAATATGTTGTTCGTAATTTTACTATAAATAGATTTTGTATGTAATTTTGTTTGTTTTTTTTTATATAAAAATGTATTGCTAGTATTTTTACTATTTTGATACTTTCATAATGTTTGTTTTTGTTTGACTATTTGTCAGTAGCTACAACCATAACCAATGCAATTACGCCAGGGAAGACCAGGTAACAACGGCAAATGCACGCACCTCAAAATCTCCACTGTCCCGATTAGAGGTCTTGTGAGCTAAGAGCATCAATATTTAAGTTAACTTTTAATCACGGAATGCAGTATGAGAACTGTTTTACTTTTTGACAAATCAAATGAACGTACAGATTACAATATTAAGCTAAAACTACTTGACTTCATATTTAAGATCTGTCTAAATTTCCGAGATGAGGTATTTTTTATTGTCATATTCCCGACGTTTCGACTGTTGTTCGCTCAGGCCTTCTTCAGGTGATATTGGAATTTAGAATCGAACCATTTATTTAGTCAATGGAGGTAGATTGCTCTAATTCCACGTACCATGATTTTTGAAATGGAAAGACTACATTGAATCCATTCCCATGTGAATAGCTAAGAAAGTTGGTTCACCCTTTTGTTTTAGACAATTTTTATCTCCAGAATCTATCTTACATAAGTCTCCCATGCGCACATGCTTAGAATATTGCTGCTACTTTTGGTCCGATGCTCCAGCTATTTATTTAAAGATTCTTGATAAAATCCAAAAGTGAATCAGCTGTATTATTGGCTCTGTTTATTCCCCCTACCTTTTCTATAAATATTTTCATGGTAATTGTTTGGATGAATTCTTCGCTATGATATCAAGGCTTTATTAATTTAAGCGCAGTACTAGATTGGCAGTAAGGTCTCATCAATTTACAGTTGAATTGGCTAATTGTAACCGTACGTTCTCGGCTAACAATTTCTTTTCTCACACTTCTTGCTTGTGTAATTCACTTCCGGCTCCATTCTTTCAAGCCAATTTTGATCTTCAAAAATGTAAATGCAATGTCAATTGTTATCTACTGTCTTCCTGATTGCTCTTCTATTATTCCCGCTTCTTTATAATGTTTTCTGCTTCCAAATTCTTTCACAGTCAGTAACCCCTTGTGGCTTAGTGGCTTTACTGCCTTGATTGGTGTGAATTTGATTAAAAAAATCACCTTGATAACATTCCAAGTTTATTTTTTCTTATCCGTTGAGGACAAGAATTGAATTAAAAAAAAACTTTCGATCAATCAACCAACGTTTTAACCATTGGGCCACGGGTCCTTTCATAATAGTCAAGGATATAAAATCATAGATATAATAAACCTAAGTATTTAATAATATCGGATTATTTAGTATTTTTTGAAAATATAAATGTCTTCCAAATTCTTCGCATTCATTGATGTTTTTGCCATCAGATTCGAAAGGGAAACACATATTAATTTAAAGAAATTGTCAATTAACAGCTGAAATAGATCTGTCTAATTGATTTCATTTTGGTAGAGGGTTTACCCTCAAAATTCATATATATTTCTTAGTGGGGATTTTCTACCTTTCCGTCATTAAATAGATTTCTACTGAAGTATAAAAATGCTGATGATTGGAGTAAATGTTAATTTCACTTTTAAAAATTCACAGATGTTTATTCAAACACTTGTACTTACTAAATATAACGGTTATAATATTAAGAAATCATGTCAGATTAAAAAAATGTGTAAAAATGTATTAAAAATATGTAAAAATTCATTAAAATGTGTAAAAATGTATTAAAAATGTATTAAAAATATGTAAAAATTACGTTTTTTATCTGTCTATATCTCTGAGATGAAGTATTATGATTATTTACATTATTTACATTATTCGGACTGTTATCCTCATCTTCATTGCCATATTCACAAGGACACATGGCCCAGTGGATAAAGACGTTGGTTAGATCCAGTGACTAGCTTCTAGTGATATAATGGCTGTCTATATCTCTGAGATGAGGTATTATGATTATTTACATTATTCAGACTGTTATCCTCATCTTCATTGTCATATTCACAACGTTTCGGCTGTTTTACGCCCCGGCCTTCTTCAGGTGATTGGAATTTCGAATCGAACCGTTTATTTCGTCCACCGGGGTAGATTGTTCTAGTTCCACGTATGGTGCCTCTTCCGGATGTCTCAGTTATTTATCTTCAACTCAACTCTCCAATGATTTTTTTTTATTTCACCACTACTATAGTCTGGTATTGAACTCACAATTCTTTGGGTCTAGTCACTGGTTCTAACTAACGTCATTGTCCACTGGGCCTTGATGACACATGACCCAGTGCATTTCTTAAAGTAGGGTAATTGGGTTTCGTTTTACTGAAATGACTTTACGTAGCCTCATTATAAAGCATCCTTAGCATGAAACTGGTTTTCCATATATATATATATATATATATATATATATATAATTATTTATTTAAAAATATGATTCAAATCGCGACATAAAAGTCCCATGTTTCAAAACAAGAGCCATTTTAACTCAATTTAATTTAAATAATTATATTGAAGTTTTCGGCTCTTGTTTTGAAACATGGGACTTCTTATGTCGCGATTTGCAATCATATTTTTAAATAAATAATTATATTTATGCTCTACTTTTGTAACAAGCACTATTTTTTAAAAATAATAACTAAAATACTAAGGGACTTTGGATTATTTACCTAACCAGTTCCTTTCTATTTTCTATATATTTTCACATATTATATATATATATATTAAATAGATATTTTGTTCTATTTTCCATAATTTTGCAATACGTGTTATTATTAAAACGAATCAATTTTCCTTATGTTTTTCGATGTTAAATATTCTCTTTTTTGTGTGGTAATGGCACAAATTTTTTTTCTTGAACTGGCAGTGAGAAAGTTCTTCTGCGTGAAGGGTAATTACGCTGATCAGAACAAGGTGCAGGAGAGCAAGACTGATTCTTCTTCTCCTCCTCCTCCTCCCCCTCCTCCTCCTCCACTCCTCCTCCCCCTCCTCCTCCCTCCTCCTCCTCCTCCTCCTTCTTCTTCTTCTTCTTCTTCTTCTTCTTCTTCTTCTTCTTCTTCTTCTTTCGTCTCGCATCCTGGATTTAACAATCAGCTCTTCTGTATCTTGTCCATTGATGCGTGTGACAGTTTCGTCTCTTCATTACTTATACATATGAATTCTCATTTGAACCTGTTCCGAAAAGGCCAACTTTTTTGAATTACGATATACTTCTACGTCTACATAAAAATCGGTAGGGGTTGTTTACATAGAAATTAGCTTGACTCAATACGAATAAACATAGACAGAGTGAAACTGATAGCAAAAATCCAATCAGTCAACCTATCTCCAATTTTGCCGATGACAAATACACGTGTTCTCTTGTCTTCTAAACAAATACATCGACTATGCCCTGGTCTACAACATGCCATGATCGTTATTTCTCTATCTGGTTCTTAATTTTCTTGTTTGCAACGAGATACAAACTTCAAAAATATTCTTCCCCATTCTTTCCCATGCAGATGTCATCCACGCCCACGAAATCCTCATATGCGCAAAGTTAGGGATACTGAAAAAATCTTTATCTGTCATGAATAGGAATCGTTGATATATTTTACGACCGGGAAACTGATGACAATATGTCTATTTTCATTTTAAAACTCTCTCTCTCTCTCTCTCTCTCTCTCTTTAGATACGACTTGAGAAAGAAATATTGATAAATATATATATATTTATTTAAATTGCTAGATCAACATATAAAAACTGAACAAACCCATGACATGCATTACAAAACGTTAGCTCAATTTTTTTGGCGCAACTGTTCCTCCTCCTTCCTCATTCCTCCCCCTCCTCCTTCTCTTTTCAAAGAATCTTCTTTATGTTTATACCCTGAAATCCATACGACACACATCCCATGAACAACTGCATCGCTAAACGTGAGAAAGTGTGTGGCATATACAGAAAAATTATAAATTATCTCTCTTTATCTGTTTTAGTCATCTACTTTTCATTAGAAATACGATATTTCCATAACGTTTAAGTTAGTTATTCGCAGGCAGCTATTCGGACAAGTAGATTTTTTTCTAATGTGGAAGCCATTTATCAAATTGACCCACACTGGGGCAAATGATTTTTGACACATGATCTCATTATTCCACGCTGTATATCGTTCATTATTCTCAGGGAATGACTTTGATCGGTACTAATTTTAACCGTTTTACAATATCCTAGAGTATCGTTCAACGGGAAATGATATTTTAGAAAGCATTTTTGATACGATCGTTCTTTCACTGTATCTATTTTTTAAGCATTTCACCCCCAATCAAGGCGGGAGTGTCACTAGCATACAAGGGGTTACAGAGACTGAGAGTAAGAGTAAAGAGGGGTGTTTGAGGAAAGGATGTAGGGAAGGGCGGGGAATAAGATCAAGGCATCAGAAGATGTCGATGGACATTACATTTGAATATTTGAAGATTTCCGCTATTAGGGAAACAATTAGGAGGAAGGGAGTTGCCATCTTTCATTAGAAATACGATATTTTCATAACGGTTAAGTTAGTTATTCGCAGGCAGCTATTCGGACAAGTAGATTTTTGCCATCTCTGTCTTATAATGATTGTTCCATTTACATACACATTTCATAGACTAACTGGAACAATCATTATGGGACAGAGGTAGAATAATATAGAAGAATGGAAATGGGGGGGAAACATTTTTTTTTAAGTATTTCACCCCCAAGCAAGGTGGGAGTGGCACTAACACACAGGGGTTAAAGAGAATGAGAGCAAGAGTAAAGAGGGGGGTGTTTGAGGAAAGGATAAAGAGAAAGGCGGGGATCAGGACCAAGGTATCAGAAGATGTCAATTGACATTACATTTGAATATTTGAAGATTATAGCCATAAAAGAAACAAGTAAGAACAAGGGAGTTCCACATACGAGAAGTGCGAGAGAAGAGGCTATTGGAGTAGAAGAGACTGCTACATTTAACCGTTTCGACAGTGAAAGGGTGGGACGGAGATGCATAAAAATTCGAAAAGCTTTTTTGCATTTGAGACACGTTTTTAACATCCTTAAAATTAAAAGCATAATATACTGAAAATATTGCTAAGGTTCTTCCATCTACAACAGACATAATTACGCCAATTTGAAAATTTAAAAAAAATACACGCTACAATACAATAAAAAGCGTTCTTTTTCTTAATGAACTTTGCTAAAAATAAAATAAAATAAACACCCCTAATGCCACCTAGCGAGAAACACAGTGTGAGATACTTCGATTCATCAATATTTAAACATGTTTAAAATCTGGTAAGTGGGCTTTTCGTTCTGTGAATTGTGAAGTGCTTGAAGTAATGGAAACCATTTCATATCATCCATTTGAGAAATCAGAAACCTATCTCGTAAGCCTTAGAACTTTTCAGAATCTTCATTTGCTTACTCGTGTATTCAGATTTCCCTGTTCAGTATGCATCATCATCATCAGCAGCAGCAGTCTAATGACCGAGTGTGGTCGTAGGGTGACTGCTTATCTGAAAACCTTACCAGTTCTGACTACGTATCTCAGTTGAAATCTGGAGAGGTATTCCTTCATGCGTAGCATCTCTTGGACAAGTAGACCTGGCGGAGTCCATCCCTCTCCCGGTCAAACCACAGCCGAGGTTCTCCAACGTGAAGGCTCGCCTTGGTCTCGAACACATGTCCGTTGTATACATCCGTGGAAAACCAGCGTTCTGACCGTCCAGAATCCCCTCTATACTCTGACACCGTGTCTGGCTGCAAATGCTTTGCTATGGAGTCCAGTTTATCTCTCAGAGCTAGATAGTCATTGACCCTATAAGAACGCACTTTGACAGGTCTTGTTTTTATCTTTGTGGACGTCTAGTTACACTCCTCAAGAGCCTAGCAGCCTTGCTGAAGGACTGTTTTAGTCACCGATGACCCGATAACGTAGAAGGTAGTACAAGGTTATATGGGACCAGTAGCACTCTGCGAGTTGCCGGGCATTATCAATTTATCAGTTTTAATAATTAATGTTCTTTCATGTCGTAGGCACTCACGGATCTCCATAGATTTCTTTTCTTTAATGAACTGTCATAGTTTTGAGGGAAAGATAGTGGAATAATTTCCCGTTAACTTCTCTATGGTACAAGATTTCAGAATTTCTCTTCTTTTAGACATATAAGATATATTGTAATATATATTTGTTAGCTTTTCAAAATATACTATTAAGATATTGCTTACTTCTCTTTAGACATTGCTTGCTTCCACTTAACCTCAAGCTGTGATCTAAACGCTTAAGTGGTTACCACTTTCAGGCAACAATATTTTTATTTGAAGAAGTAAGCAATTTAATTATCAACAAAATAAGCGCTTATTTAAAAATCTAATAAAAGACCGGATTGAAAATTAATAATCAAATACTTATTACTAAAAACTGATTTTTAAAACTAAATATGCCAATTAGTTATTTTCTTTAAAGTTGGTCACGATATAAGAGACATGCTTAAATGGAATTTCTTGTGCTAGTCTTATTATTAAGCTCAGCCCCAGGAAACCGCACTTCTAGCCAGTACTTCGCCCGAGAGGAAGGGATAATGTTAATTCCTGATAATCCCTGACGACTGAGGCGTCCCCAAAGTGTAGAACTGAGGGAGCTGAGCAGTTTGTTTCTATGTATACGGGAGAATCCCATTTTAAGCATAGCTTGTGCCATATTCCGTTTTGTGGGTATTCAGACGAATACCAAACATCATTATTTTGATATTACAGGTTTACGTAATATTTTCACACAAACACGAACAGGTAAATAACTTTATTTATATTAATTAATTTCCTGACTTTCTAAATAGACATACAGTCACCAACAATTACTAACTCGGAACCTTATGCATTAGATTACGTATGTGATTGTTGGATGAGCAGGTAGCGAAAGTAACCTCAGCGTACCGATTTGAAATTCTAACCAAGTCTGTTTCGTTCCAGCTGTGGATTAAATAACAAAGCAGACTAGGTTTTTTTAGCCTTGTTAGGCAACCAGTTTATACGAAGGAAAACTCTGAATCCCAAACCATCTACTGCTGAATTATGAGATACTTGTTCTTGATATATGTAGTCAGTTAAGCGTGTAAATGATGTAAAATTAGTATACCATTTAGCCACTAGGAAATATGTTGGTCACCAATCCTGCAAAAATATCCCCCATCACAAATTTATAGACAAAACATGCAGATGCATGCCGGGATTACTTCCTAATCAATAAGATAGGCCAATTTTTCTTCCCATCCGATATAGTGATTTTCTAAGCGTAGCTTAGACGTGGCACAAGGCCGAAAGTATAGGGCACCCAGTGAGGATCGAACTCACTACTCAGTCGTAATTGTTTTAGCGCTTCCCATCCGATATATATCTGTTCTTTTTTCACTTAAAGTCAGAATGCTGTGATCGCTTGTCCATTTTACTCCAATTATTAGATTGTGAATATTTTGTCCTGGGTATGACGATAAACTACATCCAGCAGCAAAGCCTCTGGTCGGGAGATTGGAGATTTTGAGGAGCGGGGAACCACCTCTTAATTGCTGGTGTTCCCAGGTCCGCCAAAACCGGGGTGGTACCATCTGTTAGGGTCCCAACTATGAGCAAATAGTGCACTCCCAAACAAAACATTATGAAAGTATAGAAATATATTTTTTATAGTAAAAATGCCAGCAAAATGGGGAATTGTCTTTGGATATGGGAGACCAGTTGTCTTTGGGTGGGGAGATGGCATTCCGACGAGCGTATGAACCCTAGCTGTTGCGCCGACCGACTGTCCAAAATGTCCCTTTCATGGGCTTTTATGTCCGTTTCGTTGGCTCAGATCGGCTCCAATTCCTATTTCGCTTCTTTAGGTGGGAGTGGGTGCTATTGGGTGAAAAATTGGATTGCATGTTTTTTGAGGTATTTGAGGAAAGCGGAAGATGTGTGCGGAGCCGATGCGCACTTGACGGAATTTTTAGTTTCGTCTTGGGTTTCGGAGCGTTCACATCCGGCCAGTGATGGAAATTTGTGTAACATGAATCAGAAGATCTGGTTTTTAGGAAATTATAACAATCTGTTATTTGTTGGTTGAATGTCAATGGGTTTTGTGACCCATATTATGTTTTGTCTTTTTTTTTAATGAAAATGAAAACTATGATTTGGCCAAATGTGAAATGGCAACTGATTATGGCATGCATGGTTTA